TACTGGGAAAGTAATTGTTGATCTCCCTCCTCACTTAAACCACATGTTCACTAAACATCAATATGTGTGTGTGTGGTTCCCCCTACAGGCCATCTGGGAGAATCAGTTCTATTATCTTTTCGGCTTCCTGTTCCTGGTTTTCATCATTTTGGTGGTGTCCTGCTCTCAGATCAGCATCGTCATGGTTTATTTCCAGCTCTGTGCAGAGGTAAGTTCAGCTAGGCTAACCTACAAGAGTCTTTAGTTTGCCCAGTTTGACCTGTGGTCTACACAAGACTGGTGTAGACTATCAAAACACAGAGTAACTCTGAGAGACTCACTATAAACAGACTTGAGATCAGTGGCTAGCCTAGCAACAATAAGTCTGCAAACAACCCATAATGTAACGATGCTTGTTCAAAATGAACATCTGATGTTTTACAATACCATCTTGCTTTATATACTTGTCTCCATAGATACTACAGGTAAAAAAGGTGAATTGAGGATAAGACTCAGGTGTGGGACTTTTGATGGTGCAGTTTTTCCCAAATTGTAAACAAATACAGGTTAAAAACCAGTGCTCAAGTTGTATTGAACTTATAATCCACAACTTATACGGGCACTTTAATTCCAGAATATGCTTATTATTAATGTAGGAAAGAAAAATAACTACAATGGAAATTAGGAAATGCATCAATATTTTGACACTAGCAATGCTCAGAATATCCCATTGGGTTAGTTTTGTTGATGATTGTTGTTAATTCGTATACTGGAGGAGATGCAGGAGAAAGACTACATTTTATATCATAAAACTCCCGGAACAACATCTAAATTGACAAAATTTTGGTTTTGGTTTTGCATAACTTCTTCTGTAAATACAACCGATCACATGTCTAGCAAAGACATGTAGAGACTTTGCTAAAAAGAATGTTAGGAAAGGTACAAATACTGAGGTTTTAGAGTATTAAAGAGCTTCATAGTATAGAATAATTTTTTTCTGCTTTAATTACATGTTTAAAATCATTTATAGACAATATCAAGTCTTAGAATGTGCAGCATGAAGAAAGAGCTGTACTGTTGTTTAAAGTTGTGGTACAGTTAGAATGTGTGCTGTGTTCTCTTTCTCTCCTCATTATCAGGACTACCGGTGGTGGTGGAGGACTTTTCTTGTTTCAGGAGGATCAGCTTTCTACGTCCTTGTTTACGCTGTCTTCTACTTTGTCAACAAGGTAAAAAGTAAAACACATGATTGATTGCACTGCAACTGGTCAGATCAATATCTTTGATCCTTGTTGTTGAGTCTTTAAATGTTTTTATTATAATACTATGGCATTAAGGTAGGCAGAGTGTTTGACTCTCAAAGGGGTATTATTTTATGTGTGTCAACTTTTGATTGTCCAATGTTGTGAAGTTTTAACTTATTTAGTCAAAATAAGACCCATGGGTATTCTGCCTCGCCCTGCACTGTTTATTATTTTTTGTAAAAAAAATTTCTGTTCTAAATACACATAAACAATGTGTACATCACCATATCACCAAATCCTGCAATGAGCTTGTTATCTTAAACTGAGATTTAAGGTGAGATAAGAGAAAAACGTAAGCATCAGCTGATGAATGTGAAAACAGTCTGCACAGATACCACTGGTCAAGATTTTAGTTTAAAGTTACAGTGTGTAGAATTTAGTGATATCTCGTGTTGAAGTTGCATGTTGCAGCTGAACACCCCTCACCTCACCCTCTTCTTCCAAACATGAAAAAGAACCTGTGGTAGCTTCAGTTGTCATAAAAACTCAAAAGGTGTTTAGTTTGTTCAGTCTGGACTAATGTAAAAAACATGGCGGTCTCCGTAGAGAGGACCCCTCCATGTAAATATAAAGTATTTAAATATAAAGGGCCTTTTCTGGGGTAAAGAAAACTACAATTCATACAATTTAGATTAAACGAACTAGTGAAAACATCATAAGGATTATTCTACATTTCTGCCAATAGTTCCCTTTCACCTGAATCTTACACACTGGACCTTTAAGTCTGGTGAAAAAGTGACATCTAGAGGTGAGGTTGCAGATTGCAACCAGCTAAAAACCCTAACATCACCCTTTCCAACTAAAGAGGCGTGTGTACTCACCATTCCAGCCTTTGTGCCAACTGAAATAATAAATCTCTCACAAATGCCACCGCACCTTTTTATTTTGGCTGGACGTGCACCTACCAACTTTTTCAAGTTTCTTTTGTCTGTAGAAACCTTTCAACAGTTTCTACCGACATCTCTGACTCCTCCTTAATGTCACGACGGAGCTAACAGATTCTTAGATGGCTCATGATGGGACATTGCAGATTATACAGATTCCTTTTGAAACATGTTACTAATCCACCAAATGTATAAAAATGAGCAAAAGAAAACTCTGAGAATGAACTCCTCCTCTATTTATTCCCTCCCAGCTGGACATCGTGGAATTCATCCCCTCCCTCTTGTACTTCGGCTACACAACCCTGATGGTGCTGTCGTTCTGGCTGCTCACGGGCACGATTGGTTTCTACGCAGCCTACATGTTCATCAGGAAAATCTACGCTGCAGTCAAGATCGACTGAGTTGTCAACACAGCTGCTGTTTTTTGGGGGGTTTTGTTCATTTTTTTGTCACAGTTCTTTGTTTTGTTTTTTTAATATATATTTTTATCATTCATGTCAAACAAGCACTGACTTGTGTTTATAGGGAACAAGAGGGGAGTTTTCATGGTATAACAGCCCAACCCACTGGCGTCACGGGGAAGAACAGCATGTGGCAGAGCTAAACCAGCTGTCTCTCTTTCTCCCCCCCCCCCTCTCCCTGGCTTCTTTCACCCTCCTCTCTCCAGGGCAGAGACTCAGACAGTTTATGTCTTCTGCTGTTTCACCTTGCACACAACACAGTGGGCCAAAGCTTGTCTAATGATGGTTTCTGCACATTTTCGTCTCGTCTTTTCGTTTTTGTGACTCTAACTTATCCAGGTTTTTATTTTTGCCATCCCAGGATTTATCTCTGACTTAATTTCTTATCATCATCTCCTGGGAAGTTATTTTCATCTGATGTCTTCACATACATTTTGTCTTTGCTTTTTCCACTGTTTCAAATGTGACTTCATGGAGGAGACTTTGTTGTGTCTTGCTCATATGGATGTAAGTTATGCTGGGGAGTCCTACATTGTAACACAAGAAAGGATAAATTAAATGTTCTCTTATTTTTTACTTTAAATTCCATGTCCTGGTGTGACCATATTAACCACCTCTGTAATCAAAATGTTAGCTTCTTTCTCCAAATCAAAGAGTCTTTAATTAAAGTCAAAATACTGGTTCATTGTTCTAAATGATATACAACAGCTCTGAAGCCGATGCTCTGAACAGTGGAGTGAAGCCACTGGAGCCGGAGAAAAGGAAAAGCTGCGGTTGACGCGGAAACGACGAGGAGCAGTAACCTGTTGGGATGGAATGTCTGCAACACAAAGGCCAAGTTTGAAGCTTTTGCAGTGGGAACGTACAGAACGCACATTGAAGCGCTCTGTCTGCACCCTGAGCATCGCTGGATGTCTGCTGAACTATGCAGCAATGGAGAGAAGTGCAGCATCGCTGGCTTTGATGCTTGTTTCAAAGGACCGCTTTGTCAGGAAATACCACGTTTAAAACTAATGTACAAGGCATTTTGTGTATAATCAACAAGATCACCTGTGTCTCTACCAGTGATGGCAGGCTAATTCTGATAGTGCTTTGGTATCATGAGATGAGCTCTTAAATGTTATCCACAGTGTTCTTATCAGATTTGTACAGCCGATGTCTTTGTGTAGACCGACCACTCATCCTTGCATCTTGCACTTTTTCTTTATTTTTCAGCTAAAAGACATAAAATGCATTTAGAACATGTGTGGAGCCTGATAAAATGTGACTTTACAAGCTGCTCTCGTTAACGGCTTCTCATTGGCAATCAATCCGTTAGCCAGATAGCTTAGCATAGCTTAGCCTAAGGAATGGAAATGGGAACAACTAATCTAGGGTGTTCAAAAGTAACAAAATCCAATCACTGGTTCCGCAAAAGTTTTACAAATTTTAAAATGTGTTCTATTTCTTGTTGAATGTGTCCAGATTTATCTTGTAATGTCTTGGCCCTGCTCAGTGAGAAGATGGTTCTAATTTAGAAGGTTTAAAGGTGCTAGACTGAGCCAGGCCAGCTGTCCTCCTGTTCCCAATCTTAATGCTAAACTAAGCTAATCTGCTGCTGACTAGCTTCATATTTAGCATGAGAGACACCGGTCTTCTCATGTAACTCTTTGCGAGAAGTGTATATTTTGAGAAATGTTAAATTGATCTTTTACTGATGTCTCCGTTGAATTCCACTATTGTGTAAATCTTGAGTCTGTTGGTCTCGGCTAACAGATGAGACGGCTCCTGCAGATCACTGGTTTGCTGTTGCAGTTTACGAGTGGCTGAGATGTTACTGCTAATTCAGAGAGAGTACTCTAAAGACTGAATGTTAGCACAGACCTGAGAAGTCCATTTTTTTATCAAGCGTCGCTCCTTCTACACAAATGCATCTTTAAAATGAAACTAAGCTGAACCCTCCCAACATGCAGTGCTCCCTGAGCCCCTCTACGTTTATTGGACTTTATCACAGACTTTTTTGGAGACCATCACACAAATTTAGTGAATCATCGCAGCTTCACTTGATCTGTTTTTTTGGTTGGTTTTTTTTCTTTCTATGTACTGCTAGCAGGCGTTTTTTGCACAGAAGCAAAGGTGACATGTTGTCGTCAGGTTGTACAGTGAAGGAACAGGTGCCTGCATCAACCCTGATTCTCCAGGGCTAAAACAAAGAAAGAAAGAATGAATGCCTCCTCCCCCTGAGCCTTCTCCCCCCCGTCATTAACACCTAATGAGCGGCTCAGAGAGAGCAAGACGTAGCCAAAAATATTTAAGTTGCCCCTGCCACATGCTTCAAGATGCACCAGCATCAACTCAAATGAGTGCATTCCTGTAACAACCATGACTCCCCGTTCCATCCAGCGGCATCATCTCTGTACCACTGTTCCACCCTCTGTATTGTGTCAGAGTCACTGAGCTCTGGCAATCCAGCTGCTGTTTTTGGCAGACACCGCTCTCCTGCTGTTGGAAGTGCACACGACAGGGGAGACCTTTTTTACAGACAGACTTTAACGTGGCCCGAGTCATGCGTGCGTATGTATGATCGAGGGGTTTACGATGTAAATAAAAGAACATGGCTTTGTATTTGTTTGCGTTTGGCTGTTTGTGGCACTCTATAATGATTCCTGTCATCGTTTTAGCCAAAAGCATGACGCTCATGATGACTTGGAAAGGAACCTGTTTGTGTTACTTCTCTCTGTGTTGCTTTTACAGAATGTCCAATAACAAAATGTACAATGACAAAAACAATAAAGTGATGACAAGTTGAATATGAAGAAGAGCTTTCCGTTGTTTCTTTTTTTATTTATATATAAAAAGCAGATTTCCCACATGCAGTGACCTTGGTTCATTTTAGAACCAAAATGACAGAAACTAAATGTATTTGATGTGTACTTTGACCTTTCAGTTTGGTTCACGTCCCATCCATTAACATAGAAAGGATTTATAAACTATACCGCAGCCAGTGCCCGAGGGCGATTAAAGGGCTAGTTCACTGAAAAAATGAAAATCCACTCATCATCTACTCAGCACTATACCGCATGGAGGGGTGGGTGAAGGGTTTGTGTCCACAAAACACAGAAGATAACCTTGTAGCAGCCAAATCCAATACAATTGAAGTCAATGGTGAGTCCTACTTCAGACGTAATAAAACAACAGAAAAAACATAACTGTTCGAGTGGTGTTCGCAAGCCCCGACATGTATATTCAACTCATTGACGTGTATAAAGTCTAAATGTCCACTATTGGTAGCTAAACCAGCAAACGTAGTGTTTCCCAGGGTCCGTGAATGCACCTTGTAGGAAGATATCAGTGGACATTTAGGTTTAAAACATGATGTGAAGAGTTGTTTAGAGTCAAATATGAATGTCGAGGCTTGAGGACACTTGGGTGACACCACACGAGCAGTATGGAGGCATGTTGTGGTCAGTTTTATTACTCACCATTGACATCAGTTGTATCGGATTTGGCTGCTAGAAAGTTTAGAGGACTCAAACAGTCCCCCACCCCTTCAATGGCATAGTGGTGAGGCGATGATGAGTGAATTTTCATTTTTCAGTGAACTATCCCTTTAAAGGTACAGTGTGTAGAATTTAGTGATATCTCGTGTTGAAGTTGCATGTTGCAGCTGAACACCCCTCACCTCACCCTCTCCTTCCAAACATGAAAAAGAACCTGTGGTAGCTTCAGTTGTCATAAAAACTCAAAAGGTGTTTAGTTTGTCCAGTCTGGACTAATGTAAAAAACATGGCGGCCTCCGTAGAGAGGTATGTAAACATAAAGTATTTCAATATAAAGGACCTTTTTAGAGTAGAGAAAACTACAATTCATACAGTTTAGATGAAACGAACTAGTGAAAAAATCATGAGGATTATTCTACACTAAATTTCTGCCAATAGTTCCCTTTCACCTAGCTCTTACACACTGGACCTTTCAGGTGTTTGCTTCTCATGATCGTGTCAGCCATGTTTTTATACATTCATGGGTTGAGGTCGGGAGGCTGCTAACAGGTAGGTTATGCAAGACGTACTTACTGGCACAACCTCACCAGTTTCCATGGAGGTGAAAATTGGAGCCACAGTTACAGTAACCTCAATAACATGTTAGACTGACACGTCTCAGCTTGTGGCCTTCACCAGGGTCATCCACGTAAACTGCTTGTTTTTCTGTGGTGATCAAATACCTCACCAACTTGAGTAGGCTTGTTCCCAGTAAATGTTTTGTACCTTACAACCAACTCACTCCCTTAAATAAAAGCTGCATAGCTGCTTTCAGACATGCACTGAACTCCCAATGATCGCCAGACTTTCTCTTGAGGGGCTCTATGTGAGAAGAAAATTTGTCGGATTGAGAGGCTGCAAACATTCTCTGGAGTTTCTCCTGCAGGCTCCACAGAAAGATATTCTGGAGAATGTCCAAATGATGTGAGAACATAGCAAAACGTCTTCTGGGGGATTCACCACGTGCATGTGGGCGTGCTGATGACATTTTTAACACGTAACAGGTCCAAAAATTAAAAAAAAGAAAGAAATATTTCAAAATTAAAAAAGCAGGCCGGTGCCATACACCTAGAAGAACAATGTGAGGTGCATATATAATCGGAGACACATTAAAATAGAATTGTTGTGGACCTCAAAATGTTAGCTGTACTGGTTCTAGCCTATGCGTCAGATAGCACGACTATAAAGTAAGAAACCAATGATGGAGTATTAAGGCCACACTGAAGGGGGGAAAAAAAGAATGCAAATAATTAATTTTACAGGAATAAAAAACAAAATTTGAGAGAGAAAAAACACTGCAGTTAGAATAAAATATGAAGATAAATATGAACAGTATTTTTGTCGGTAAAATCAATCTTCTAACTATATTAGAAGTGATTTACCATAACCATTGAGTATTAAGTACATTTATAGCGGTTGTTGCTGTAGGGCAAGAGGCAGCAATATTAAAATTAGATCATTTCTTAATCAGTTAAAAACTCCGCTTTAATTTCTTTTTTATACCAAAACTATCGCTGATTGACTTTCCCCTTGTCAGGTGAGGAGCTTGCCTTCTGTTTTCTTCCTGGCGCGTCACGTTCGATGTCATAAATGCACCAAAAACCGAGAAGCTCTCTCACTTCTTGTCTTACCACATTCGTACGCTTCCATCACTGCCTAGCGGAGCTAGATTCCTGCGTCTGCTGCAGAGTCATTTGACCTGGGAGTGAACGCAGACTGTCTCCAGTCACATTGCAGACAAAAGCCAGATGTTTGTGTTTTTTAACCAGTGGAAAAGGACTTAAATCATTCAAATCTTTGGTTTATGTCCAAATACCTGCAAAACTAAACACATTTAGACCCCCCTCAGCTGTACTTTATGTTTATGGTTAATTAGCAATTAGCACACACATGACCTCATCAGCATAGTTTGATTATCCACTCTGGGCCAATAAACAATTACGTCACTGAGCAAAACTGTCTATGAATCCTGTCATAAGGCCAATAGTTACTTAGCTAGATGATGAGATGACAGTCAAACTGGTTGAAGCTGGTAGGTGAGGCTGAAGAGTCACATCCTGCTGCACAGCATGGACGTCCTGAAGCTCCTCCTACTGCGAACACTTCAAGGCTGCACCAGAGACAGGAGCGAGCCGTTTGGAGGATGTGGGTTTTAACCAGACAGTTCTAGTGTCGAGTGGAAGCAGTAAAGAGATTTGTTGTGTGTGTGTGTTTGTGTGAAGGTGTTAATTCTTGGTTTCTGGTGTTTCTGAAATGTTCAGAGTCTGCAGGGCTCTGATCAAATTATAAAGTCTGTGATGTGGTGTCTCGGTTCTCTCGAATGCCTTTTACGAACTCTCTGGGTTCCTCGGAAAGAAAATTCTGCAAACCCCAATGAGTTTCTATTCTTGAGTTATGGCACAGTTGGCATCCAATAAGTGTATGCGTGAGAGTCAGCTAAGTCGATGTAATTATAGGTTAGCTCCATAGTACTATAATTAGGGTCGTCTTGACACTCAGCTATGCGTGCAGGCGCACTGGTGCAGCTCTCTGAGACGTAGTCCAGACCCTGGTCCCACATGTGGGTTAGACACACTGTGGGGACACAAGCCACCAGTCAGATGGTCCTGATATATTCCAGGACGCCACTGTAAACTGTGTTTTTTTTTTTTGCTATGATGATTCTCTTAAAGTTTTATTGCTTTCTGAAATCACATCCAAAAACAGTTAGAATAAAATGGGTGCCAAGCCTCCACAGGGCCGGTTTGTGAATGGAGGTGAAAAGATATTACATGAGTTATGAGAAGGTGATCATGCAGAACACAGTACAGAGATACAGACTTTCTCTGCAGTTTGCACAGATTATGTGGTTTTGTTTACAGCAAATCGACACCGGCGTCGGACGTTATCACCAAAATGTGTGGCACCGCTTTGGATTTCTTCTGATGAAACAGATAAATGTGTACGAGATTATACGGTAACGCTGGAAAAACTCCCCTGAAAGTTAGAACCTTTTTAATTCCCAACTAAGGTGTAAAATGTTGCCTGAAATAAAATTCAAGTTTGCCACAAGAATCAAACAATCACCCTGAAATATATATATTTCTCCTCACTGCTGAGATTTCCAGGCAAAACACAAATGACCTGAGCAGTGTCCTCTATGGTGGTTATGCATAAGTTCTTCTGCCACTCAGCACTTAATAATAACTTTTTTTGGAGAGGAATTTGACATTTTGCAAAAGAAAGTGAAGAAGAAATTAGAAAAAAATACACACAAGGTATGAAACCGCTGGTTTGTCTTTTAATCATTTCAACATAACACATGACAACTCAAAGATACACTGTACTGTACAATAAGTCAATAGTTCTGTTGTTGTGTCCATCATCTCTTTGGATCAACCAATATACAAATCTGTCACTTTTACATTGCAGCAACTGATTGCATGTGAGATATGTAACAAAAAAAGCGAGACTTCTTCTCGTTTTCTTTCTTTCTCTGAAGCACATCATTTATATAATTCTCCCTGTAGTTGATAAACTCCATGCTATATAAAATAGTGTCAGTGAATGCAAAATATTCTATTTTCGTTCACCTTATTTCACCTTTTTTTTATTCCAGACGTGGCTGTAATAGCAAGTGATAAAAAATAAAGGGCTATGTCACTAAACGAGATACACGAAGAGGTTGGAATGCAAGACTTACATTTAACTAGAAATATATAAAACTACACGTGGATGTTGTCTGCATTAGACAGTACCCAGTTTCTTACTAAAAGCGAAAAAAGAGAGGGAGAGAGAGAGAGCATTATTAAAATCAAATCAGTTTTTCCAGGCTTAAACTGATGAATAAATTCCCTTAACTTTTTGTATGTTCTGCACCTACTAGTATAGAGGAAAATTTAAGGATAAGTGCATCCCTAGTAGGTGCAGGTCGAGGTAATGGATCTACAGCCGAGCCACAGAACAGAGTAACATGAGCATCCATCTCATATCAAGTGTTTCTGACGCGCACTGATTTGGTGTCAGCTTGTTTTTCCTGCTAGCTTGTGTATGGAAGCTCATTTCTGAAAAAAAAAGAAACTTCTCCTGAACTAAATGAACAGCTTAACTTAACTGTGATTTTAATGTCATACATTTAAAATGATGAAGTAGCAAATGAGAAGTTATAGCAAATGTCTATAATTTCCACTCACTGAGTTTGTAATGTTAGAAAATAGAAACTTTAACTCACTAAATCCAAATGTGAGTATGCAAAATTTTCAAATGCCATGCCAAATGTTTGTCTTCTAAAGGGTTTTTATTTAAGTTATGATATTTTAAAGGTGTATTTCAATTTTGTAATCTAAAAAAAAGTCAATAATCTTGACTTAATACTGTATTTCATTCATTCAAGTTTGATTTAAGATCTCGATCACGTTTTTTTTTCTTTCAGTAATCCGTTTCCATACACATCGGGATACGATTGATTAATAACTGACCCAGTCCTGAGTCAATCGGAAAGAAAATGAAAAAAAGGGGTGAGATCTGATGGTGTCGGTGTTTCTCAGCTACAAGCACAGCCTGACCACACGCTTTCACTTCCGTCTTAAATTGAATTTGTTGGTCTGCTGAGTTTTTCCACTAGACAAAGAGAAACTGAAAGTCTCGACCTCTGCAACATGGTGGCCTCAGTCACACAATCGAGTCCTTACAGCAGGAAGCTGCTCCTGAAAGCAGACTCCAGGCTGGTCTGCTTTAAGTGCTTATATTTTGGGGTCACTCTTGACTGGATGTCTGTTCAGTTACAACGTATTAAAAACGGCCTGCAGGTGTGTCTCAGTGGAAGCTTGTGGACAGGTTGTGGCATTGACTTCCCCCCCCCCCCTCCGACAACCATCGTTTCTCATCGCCTCAGAATAACAGACGCGTCGCTGCTGCTCTCTTCAAGAACTTGGCTGCAGAGTTTGATTCTATAAATTTATGAGAAAGAAGGCAAAGCTGGTTTCCCAAAGCAAAAGTTTCAGAGGAGAAGGGGCAGGGGGCTCGTATGAAGAAGGATATTAGTGAGAAGTCTATCAAAAATACTGTTATTCTTTTGGAGAAGAGAAATACACAAAGGTTGATAAAGTCTACACATCAAACTAATGGCACATACATGTACAGGATCAATACAAAATTAAAAAACATATGAACATATAAGCTGAAATTTTAAAAGAAAAAAATACTCTTTTTTTAAAGGTTGAAAGTGCTAGAATTCAGATTAGCTCACAGAAACCCAGGGAGGACAAACCTCATACATGCCAAAAACTTTTCCTTAACTCTTTTTTAGGACTAAAATCAATCCTTGTTACAAAAATATAAATGCTCAATTTCATTGCTACAAATCTGGCTTAAGCCAGGAGGATTTTTCCTAAAGACAAATTTTTTAACTCATAATAAAGATCAAATTTGAATTTTGGCTCTTTTTTTTTATACATCAGGAACATTTGTCAGAAAGGTGCCGACAGCGAATTTAGGATCAATGACAAGTTTGATCAAAAGAGTCATCATCAAAATAATGAACTTCCAGGGGGGAGACTAATAAGTGTAAAATAAGGTTCAAATTAGTTCAGAACTCTGAATATAAAATCTATGATTTCAGCGATTGAGCTGTGGTTCCACAGTCAGACTGTGGGGG